CTGCCCCTGCCCTGCAACATTCACACCACTGACAAAGCAGCACTGGGGCTGATCTCCACTCACAGACACTGTTCCCCACGCTGGGGCCTCTTATTAGGACTCAACATTTAGCAAAACACACTTCTTTTTTTAACCAGACAAAACTCAGCTGGACCGAACCCAGCTCGAGCTGAGGGGCTGCAGCTCCTGGTTCAGAAAAGCAATTCACACGTGCAGTGAAGGGGCTTGTTGGAGGCTGAGAGCTCAGTGCCTGGTGGCAGAGGAGCCAAGGAGTGGGCAGGCTGGATCCCAGGCTGCAGCAGCCCTTGGCCAGGAGCAGGTCTGGCTTTCCAGCACTGGTGGCCGGTGGGACCACAAGCTCCGAGCACCATCTGGTGGGGAGATGCTGCTGCTGCTGCTGCCTCCAGCACAGACCTGCCCGGCCCTGCAAACCCTCGGGCTTCAGTTCTTGCAGGGGAAAAAGGCACCAGGAGCAGGGAACCACTAAACCTGCTGCTTATCTGTCACACACACGCTTCATGCCACCACACCGACCTGACAAACACATCTGGTGACCGAACACGAACATCCACAGGACACATGACTGATCAGATGTCAAAGAAATCATCATTTTTGGTGTCACTGTGGATTTAATTTAAAACACTGATGGAGCTTTAAAGTATATTGCTGAAAACTCTCCTGTGGTTGAAGGGATTTAACTAGCAGGATAAATCTCCCACAGGTTGCAGCAAGAGCAGAACCAAACCCACTTGGTACCTACCCAAATTAATACAATCTCCCTCCTAGTTTTATACAAAGGAACTCAACAGCTGGGTTGGAGTGGGCAAAGCCCCTTCTGAAACCCACACAACGACTGGCAGAGGGGATTTCTGTGTGCAATGTGGTGCAGGAGGAGGAACCATGAGGCTGAAATGTCCATGTCCAAAGACTGAAATTGTTCTCTGGATGGGAGTCCTTGACGTGCCCTGGGTGAGTGCAGGGGAGCAGGGGGGATGTCAGATCACCTCCTCCAGCAGGACAAGGCTACCAGAGAAGGAAGCAAACCTGAAAGCATTCTCAGAGGGATCTCTCCCTAAACCAGAGTGACACTGCCTGGTGCTTCCCCCTCTTGGCCAGCTCCAAGGGTTTGTAAAAAGCACAAAACGAACCATTTGCATCCTTACACAAGTCACCTGGAGCAGCAAGGCAGAGGGCTCTGCAAGCTGCACATCTTCGAGCCTGGATCATGAAGCAGCAGATGCACTGGGACGTGCAACCTCTGAAGAGCCAGAGAGGAGCCCCTGAGTGGGTTGGGGGCTTCAGGACACCCTGGCTCTGCAATGCAGAGCTGAGACCTCCCAGTATGCTCAGGTGGGAGGGGAACCCCAACTCCCCCTGGGGTAGGAGAGGGACCCCAGCTCCCCCTTGTCTCTGGCCCCTCTCTGCCCACCCAGCAGGGTCAGGCTGGCAAGCATTCAGGCATGCAGGCTGCAGCCAAACAAAGGGTTAAAGGCTTTGAAATGTAGCTTCAGTGAGGGATGGACATTCCTGAAATGCCAGAAAAGCTGGAAAAGGCAGCTGGCTCCCCTCCCTGCAGCCTGGGCCAAGCAGCCAGGCCTTAATATGGCAGAGAGATGCCTTTGCAGACCCCATGGAGCTGGAGGGCAGAGGTGCTCCCAGGGCAGCCCCCACACAGGATCCCCTGCATCCCACTGAGCTGCTGCTGGGCTGGTGGGCTCACAAATCCCACTGCAAAGCAAAGCCAAAGCATCACCTTCCTCCCATGTCCTCCAGCCACACCTCAAAGGAGGAATCTCGAAGCCACCTTGAGCTGCTTTCAACATATGCCAACACACTGACCCCTTCTGCAGGACACTTGTGCCACTCTGTGAAACCCACCACATACCTCTACCATGGTGACATCAGCATTGAACAGCAAATATTCACAGTGGCTCCAGTCCTCCCCGTGGTCCCAGCACCAAGGGGATATCAGTGTTGCAACATGAGCAGGGTCTGGCTTCCACTTCATAAGGGAAAGCCCAAAATACCTTCCTCTTTGACGTGTGTCCATGTCACAGCAGCATCTCCTTGCCTGGACTCCCCAGGTGTGGGCTCTTGCTGGGGACATGGCATTTTCCACAGACAAATGTCACATTGTAAAATGTGCTGGTAAGCAGCCCTCACTAAAAACAGCTTTCAAGACAACCACCTGATGACCTGAGGTCTTCTGTGAGGAGAGCTCAGCCCCTTCCTGCTCCTTCTCACCCACCAGCAATTAATGCTGAAGTCTGCAGTTATTTAAAAATGAAGGGACATTCCCATTTTTCCTCTGCACTATCAGCAAATGTCTCCTGTGGAAGTTTGTTCCTTCCAGTCCAAATGCAGCTCCTTCCAGGCTTTCATTCCAGAGCAAGGAAGGCAGGATGACAAATTCTATTTAAATCCATGGCAATGAATGTAGAAATGTGTGTTCAAGTCACTTGGCCACACCAGGCCTAGAGATGAGTTACTGCAATGCCTGACGTGTGATTTAGAGAAACTAATCCTGGGAGTCAAACATAAAGAATTACACCTTTTAGAAAAAGGAAAGTAAGTTTTCCATTCAAATACCAATTAATTTATGCCTGCCTTCCAGCTGCAAAGTATTTATTCAAGTGCAGCTCCACAATTTAACCAGCTTGATATCCCTTGCAGGCTCTTCTTCTGCTGTCTCTGTTCACTGAATCATACTTGTTTGGGGGAGCAGATGGAGGACAAATACAACAGTCTGCTGCAAAACAGGGCTATAGTACAAGAGAAGAGGTTTCATTGCACAGGACTTCCCTGAGCTTGAGGGAGTGGGATCTCCAGCACCTGCAGTCCCCTGAAGCTGCTCTGCATTTCCAGACATGACTGACTACAGGCCACGTGGGCTGATGACACCAAGTCCTCACCACAGAGGTGACAAAAAGATACGAAAAAAGGGAGACAGGGAAGAAAACTTTCTTCCCCAGACTCCTGATAGGAACCCAAGTCTTATGTCTAGCTGGTCTTCATGGGTCAGTAATGGTGGGTGCAGTGGTGACACCCACATTTTACTCTCTCTGGCCCAGCTGCCTTTTGGTTTTGTGTGACCACCTCAGTGTCACATCAGAGGTGCAAACAGCAGGAGCCAAAAGGCTGGCAGAGCTGTTCCAACCCACCCATCCCACCCTGCAGTGAGGGAGTAACTCCTGGGTGAGCCCATAAGAGGTGACAACTTCTTTCCCTGGTAGTTTCCTCTCTAACTAGACACTGTCCAGAGACTCCTGGTCAACCATACCCGTTGCCCCAGCCCAGCCAGGGTGTGAGCTGCTGGCCAGCCAAGGGCAGGTCCCCCCCAGCTGTCCTCTTCCACGTGGGGTGCATGATCCCACCACCCCTTGACCTTGTGCAGACACCTGTTAAATGGGGGTGCAGGTGGCAGGAGAGAAGTGGGGTGTGTGGCTCCTGGGTGCTTTGCCAGCTTGCAGACTTGGCATCCTTGCAGAGCTTGCAGTGCCACAGACAATTCACACCAGCAGCAGCTCTGAACAAGCTTCTTCAAAAGCAACCAGGAAGATCGAAAGCTCTCAGTGGGCAACATTCTCACCTGAATAAAAACAAGAGCTTTTCTGCTGGATTTCCAAATATCCATCCCCTTGCAGCCTGGTCCCACTACCACAAGAGCCCTCTGAGATCCTGCTGTATTAGTTCCCTGCCCAAGGGAAGTGCTGCCTCTTCCCACCCACCCCACCCAAGGTGCTGCAGGCAGCAAGCACACTGCAGGTACCAAATGTGAAGTCTCCCCTGGTTCTGGAAGATGGAACTTCAGGAACAGCAACAACTGTAATACATTAATAGCAAAACAAAGGGAGCTGGAAGTGCAAAGGGACAGGCTGAAGTTTCCTTCCATTCTTACTACAGCGAATAAAGTTCAAGACAAATAGATGATGGAAAAATTGGTTAAACCTGAGCCCAAGCAGCAGGCTTAATATAGGAAGATTCATGATCCTCATTTCTGAAATACTCTGGAAACAATTATGGCCCCTCAATAACCCACTGCATTTGCCTACTATCCTTTCATTATAGCTTAACATTTGCTACAAAGCTGTGTTTTATGGGTCTGAAAAGTTATCCAGCCTCCCTCTTTGGGGACTGCATTGTACCAGATATTTTGCAAGACTGCCAGAAATAACCAAACCCTTCATGCACTAAAGGGTTATTGCTGGCATGGAATTTCCTTTGTTCCAATTACAGAATCTCATTTTTCTCTCTTGCTTCCAATTGTGCTTTCATTGTTTATGATTTGTGTGATTAAAACAAACCACAGCCCATTGGCAAGAGCAAGGAAACCTGAGCCTTCTAGCTTGAAGAGGAGAATCTGGCAAGGTGCTAAGAATATATTCATTTGGAATTGGTATAAAGAGAATCAGAGTTAGGCAGGTGATTTAGATTAATGTACAAGTTTGTCCTGAGAAAATTGCAAGGGGCAGTATCTACCAGTAATGCCTAATGGGTTTACAGGTTCTGCAGTGGGCAAATGTTGCTGTCATTCTACTCAGAACAGCTTGAAAGGAATATACTGGTGTAAGCAGATTATTAAACTCTGAGAATCTAGATTTTAATAGGCTTTAGTATTAAATGCTGCAAAACCATGATACTATATGTAAGGTTTGAATCACCTTTACTTTTAGACTCTTTACTCCCATAGAAACTGAGATGAGTTCAAGATCTCAGCACTCACTTGACTTAAGCTGAAGTCTCTAAATGAGCTAATTATTCAGTCAGGGCTGTAGTGATAAGTATCACCCTCTGTTTTTTCTCTTGGATGAAGATAAGGATAGGAGAGGCTGGACAACATCTTCTCACCCAAGGCAAGAGACTTGGAAGTTGCTCTTCCAGGCTTGATCCAATGTGTTGGAACAACTAGCAAATTTCATTGTGACAGGGGGGTGAGGAAACAGATAAACCAGCAGGGCTCCTCTAACTTAATTAACATCCAGGTACTGCATTACAGATGTGTGAGTTTAATGGCCACAAGTCCCCCAGGATCATCACCAAAGCCCACACGTGCCCACATGGATGTTCATTCCAAGCTCACTAACACTAACCATCAAGTCCATTCTCAGAGCAGCTTGGAAAGAGGTGGGAGCAGCTGCTTGGCTCCCTCCTGGGGAAAGCACTGAAGAGAGAAACTGGTGCTTTGAGGTACTCAAGCACCATTACCTTCAATGCTCTGGATTTTCAGGAATCCAAGACTCTCTGACAGAGATGCCAGGGGGGAAGCACATGAAGCAGGCAGCTCTGGCTCCATGTGAAGCAACATCAGTGATTTTAGAGCTGATTTTAGCTGCACATTTGCGTCCATTTGAAACGTGTTCTGCAAAGGGGCCCTGGGAGAGGAGCACCCCAGACCAGTATCTTAGTTCAGCTGGATTTAGCTGTGTGTCATCAGCAAAAACAACACCCTGTACAATCCCCTCCCTGCCACATCCCACCTCTGTGACCTGTCACATTGTGCCACCAACACCACAGCACTGGACCTGGGATGACATCTCAGCCTGGGTTGACCCACTGGCATTCCCAGCAGAAAGCTGGAGATGACTATCATTTAAAGCCACATTTAATCTGCAATTAACTCTAAATTCACATCTTGGGGGGGATTTGGGCTCAGCACCTTCCCATTGCTGACACTCTGCCCAGCTGTGGCATCAGCAGGACCTGGACCAGGGTCATGGTCCTTGGCCCATGGTCCTTGTGAACTGCCATGAGCCCAGCCCCCAGCCCAGGTCCTGCCCTACAGAGCTGCAGGGTCTGTAGCACTGGTTTAGGAACTTTTAATTCATAATCAGTGAGACAGGATTGAGAGAATATTTTTTTCTTCTTCTTCCCCCTCCCCCAAATTGTTCCTTTCACTCAGGGATGGACACTCAAGATTTTCCACAACTCCACACAGCTAGAGGACACATTTTTCCTCAGGCACAACCAGTGCCTTTTATTAAGCCTGTGATCTGAGACTTTTTTTTTCAAAATATAGTTTGATGCTATTCTGGTCCCTTCCGTGTTTAAGGTCAGGATTGCAAGTAGAAGCTAATTACCACCTGAGGTTACTGATCAAGAAGTCATAATTAATATCTCAACATTTCACCAATTCCTGATTTTAAGTCTATTTCTTCCCTTATGCAAAATACTTAGTAGCAAAGGATGCTTTGCAAAAAAGGTGATTAGAGGAGATTTATGTATAATTACAAACCCCCCCCCTACATTTCCAAGTTCTATTTCCACATTCTCTAACATTCCTGAGGGGCATTTATTGCAAGATGAAAAAATATCTCCATTTCTATTAACTCTTCCTTCCCCTTTAAGCTACTGATCATGTACTTGCCAGTCTTCACTAACCTCACAGCTGCTGCCAAGGGCATCCTCAGAGCCAGTCAGTGGGGCTGGGAAAAGCAGCAGGGTGGGAATGGCTGCACCCAGACAGGACAGGCTTTGTTGCAGGAAGATGGTCAGATGGCAGCGGTGGTCCCACCAAAACTCAGCTGTCCTGACCTCCTCCAGCACAGAGCCATGGCCAAGGAGAAACCCAACAAGGTGGTCTTCCTTGTCACTCCATGCACAGGGCAGGGGGTGCCAGCCACGTTATCCTGCCACCCCCTGCATGGAGCCTGCTTGGAGACATCCCCACCACTTGGCAGTGCCTGGTGGCAACTGTCCCCTTTGCTGCTCTGGAGGAGGCAGCCCCAGCACCCTGGTGCACCTTCCCATGGGAGCACAGCTGCCTGAGCTGCTGCCCTCTGGGCTCAGCACCACCAACCCAGCCCAGCCCAACCAAACCCAGGGTTTTCACAGCAGAGTGCAGAAAACTCAGTGGAGGGCAGGACACAATCACTCCCCCTCCTGCAGCCTTTGCACACCCATCTGAGCTGCAGCACAGGTGGACATCAGCTCTGTGGAAGGTTTCTCAAGGGAACAAGCAGTGTCCCAGCCACATACCACTGGGGAGAGGAAGGGAAACATGATTCACCTCTCCACGACTTCTTGTCCATTCCAGCAAAGAGTGTCATTCTGAACAGCAGAGCTGTGGTTGCAGATGTACTCTGGCAAGCTGCTGTAAAAACTGCTGTGGGACTTCAGCTTCATAATGAGTTCCCTGGAAGAAAAGGGGGAGAAAGGGGGGAAATGTTACTCAGCTGAAAGAGGAAAAGAAGATGGGGTTGGTGCATTTTAAGCAGTGAAAGTAGCCACACAAATAGAAGGAAGCAGCAGGACAAATAATGAAGCTTTGGTCTGATTTCTGACCACAAGTAGCATTTTGCTTCGTTCCCTAATGTTATTCGGTCCAGGGCTGAATCTGGGTTTGTTAGGGCAAAACCACTGGTGACAGGAGGGATGTGAGGGCAGCAGAACCTCAGCCCAACCATGCAGCACAACAAACCAGGCACAGGAAAGGTGCTGCTGGCTCAGGCTGTGCACACATGGGGTGCATTTGAGCAGCAAGTGCTCAGGCTGCCAGTGGTCTGCTCTGCTCTGTAGAAGGCAATGGAGGCCCTTCAGCAAAGGGCAGCCTTGTCACTTTGTCTGCCTGACACTTGACCATCCCACACGCCTGCAAGAGCAGGTGTCAGTTTTGGGGGCAGCCCAGAGCAGGCACCCTCAGCACAGAGCTGTACAGGTGGGTGATGCTGGGTTTTCTGCTGCACTGCCAAAAAATACACGATTTCAAGACATACACTGAACTGCCCTGGGGGCAAACCCTGCATTCAAAGGGGCAGGTTTGCACTCAGCAAGGTGGCTCTGCCCTGGGACAGCAGCAGGAGCCCTGGGAGCAGTGCTTGTCCCAGGCACAGGGGATGTGGGTCAGGTCCCTTCCCTTCCCAGCACCAGGGACCCCTGGCCCCAGCAGGTCCCCTTTAGCAGTGGTCCTGCAGTGGCAGGACACGGGCTGAGCCCAGGGACAGCTGCCAGAAGGGGCCAGGGGCTGTGGGAGTGGGATGTCCCCTGGCAAAGGGCTATTTCTTGGCCTCTATTCCTTGGAAGGGGTGCAGAGGGGTCAGTGTCGGTCCCAGCGCGGCTGGCAGAGCCGGGGGGTGAGAGGGGCTGCCCAGCTCCCTCCAGCCCCCTGCGCTGGGGGATTCGCTGGGATTCCCTGTCCAGCCGAAGCCTCCGGCTGCCAGCCGGGGGCCGGG